TTATGAAATTTGGAACAATTGGTACAAATGGCTGCAAAACAGTAATAAAATTAATTAAGCCAAAAAACAATATATATAAAACTGTGTATAAAGTGTGTAAATATAGAAGCGAAATATTATATACATGTACAGGTATGACATAACAATGTTGATGTAATAATGACTGTAAGGTGTTGTAGAAGGGAAAAAATAATTTAAAAAATCTGCAAAAAAAAAAAAAAGAATTTGAGCCAAGAAAGCCATAAACAAATTAAGAATCCAAAAAAAATTTGGAATACCAAAACCTTTACTATAAAACTTTAGAACTAGCTATATAAAATAAAAAGCTTTTCATGGGAACCAGAATTATTTTGTCTACTGTAAGTCATACTAGATTTAGAGACCTTATGACTTAAATTGGATGCTAGGCAAGACTAAAAATTCCAGGCAAAAAGGGGGGGAAATCTCCTGCTTTTGATTTTGATTAGGATTAGGATCTACAAAATAAAACACTGTAACATTTGAAATATTAAAGAAGTTTGAAGAATGGGTCAGAAATTAGTAGCCACAATATCAATATCAACAATGTTGTCTGCTTCAATAGAATTTAAAGGATGTAAATAAAGGAATGACAGAATGTGAAAAAAAATCTTGCTTGATATAAAAATAATCCAATATCTAAAATATTGGATTAAAATACAGATTACAAGATCGAGAAACTATTTGAAGTGGACCTACAAGTGACAAGATAAGAGAATAACCCAGATAGGGACTCTTTACTGGATATTAAAAGCAGGTGAATGAAGTTTTAAAAATTCAAAGTGAAATACAATTAATAAACCAAGTTAATGATCTGAATAATGTCTTTTTATTGGATTTACAAAGCGGGCTTTTTAAAGCCTCAAAGAAGCTGATGCAAAAGGACAAAGAAGAATTGAGATGATAAAATTCCACAATATTTGAAAGCACTAAAGATTACGATTTTCAGAAATAAAAGGAGGCAATATGTCATTGATCTTGATCAAGGTTTTAAAAAAAGATGTTTTGCAAAGTTCTGGCAGCCCTTTACAGACTTTTTGCTGACATCAGGGCTGAAAAGTTGATGTCTTGAGGATTTGCTTATAGATAAGCAGTGGCTTATGGGAAGAAGATATATCTCTTTGTAAACTTATACAGAGTGAACAGCTTCCTAACTTGTTTATACTTGCAAATAAGACGGGAACTCGTGTGTCTGTGTGTGTGTGTGTGTGTGTGTGTGTGTGTGTGTGTGTGTGTATTCTTTTTTCTTTTCTTTCTGTTTCTTTGTTTTCTCTCTCTTTACTTTCCCTTTTTTATTTTTTTATTTTTGAATATATTTTTATTATTTTTACATTTAAAACAATGCAGTACTGAGAAGTTGAAGTGACCATACATTCACATTATATACAGCTAGTCTCAACCAGGGTTGACTCAGCCTTCCATCCTTCCGAGGTGGGTAAAATGAGGACCCAGATTGTTGGGGGCAATATGCTGA